CTACAGCACTAGTTTAAATAAAACAAAACATTCCTACAAAAATAAACTCTGGATTGAATCATTTAGCTAAACAAATATAAAAAGATATCAGAAATCAAAATGCAATGAAAAACTTTTATACATTTTGTCAGACACTCTCATGATGATGCCTGAAATTGTAAATCTTGRCCAGAGCATCAGTCCCTTGGCAAATTAGTCACATTAGTCTAGTTCTGGTCAGAGGGAGAATTCCTCTGAACGGCTGACGGTGTCCACTTTTGTTTCATCACATATTTGGATCATGCTATTCTTACCCAATCTGAGAGCAGACAGCTGCTAAAACAAATTTTTATTTAAATTTTTTTATTAGCGTTCTCTCTGCAGCAGTGAACTCTAGTCAGCAACGGCCTTCAGCACAGTGTTGTCAATTCTTTAATGCCTGCTAACCAAACCAAAGGCTGACTGTTTTCAGGACCAGATTCATATTCAGGATCAGGCTTCTGTAATTTTTGTGTCATCCCAGACCGGAAGCGGGGCAGACCGCATGTTGCCAAGTCAGCAGATATGCACCTTGAGGGTCCAGAAATAGAACTGGTGTTTTCTTACCTCTTTGGCTCTCTGCACTCCATCACTTGGAGGGTTTCTTATCTGCGGGGACGACCTGGTGTTGATTTTATCATAAAGCTGAAAAAAACCACATCTGATTAGACCAGGAYGCCAAACGACAACTGGAGACTCCCATTGGATCATTCTGGTGAGGACTCACGTCTAACAGGGTGTGCAGGTGCTGATCCTGGAAGACGCTGTGCAGGAAGTCCATGTCCTTCTCACTGCAGTCTGTCAGTGCGTGAATTTCCTCCAGACTGTCCAAAACCTGCGAAACTGCCCCTGTGCACACACAGACACAAATAAGCTTCACACACAGATCACAATCACACAAAAACACTCACGAGCACCTCGAGCAATCAACACAACCACCGAACTGATCCATGGAACTGCATCCACAAACAGGCAAAAAAAGAACAAACAACACACAAACACACAAAAAGCACAAAATGGGAGTCACAACACAAAAACACAGAACTAGAGAACCCTGAGTACCTGCTGCATCGCCCAAACATGCAGCAAAACCAGAGAAACATCAATACAACGTCAGAGGAAAGTCACTTCAGAAAGTCACAGTGTGGAGGATGACTCGTGGACAGAAAACTCAGGAAAAATTCATAGATGCGTTCGGAAAAGCGAGTAAAAAAAAACAAAAAGAAAAAAAATCTGCATAGTTTGCACAATGTAAACATGAACTGTGTGGTAAACGATCAAATGTCAAATCTTGATAAACTTTCAGTCGACTCAACAAGGTTGATGATACCGTCATGATGATTTCCTGTCGGAAGCTCAAAAGGAGCAGTTCATTTTATCTGTACCACATCATGTACCAATGGTACGATGTGGAAGAAAAATTACATAAACAAGTTGAAAAACTAATTCTCACATAATTAAATTAAAGGTCATTTGGCTTTAATGTAGCCTTTTAGGTGCAATGTTGTGGTTTTAAAGAAGAGAAAAGCTGCCTTAAAATACGTTTGATAAAAGTCAAAAGATTGAAATAAAACAAAACTAATAAAAAAAATCTGTTATAAATCTGTACAATTCTGGGTTATTATGAGGCTTTGAGGCAAGAACATCAGGCGAGTTTTATTACTGAGGCACGAAATAACAGCAGGAAAGGCAACATGCTTATTAATCCATTTTTAAACTTTTTATCTGTTTAAATGCATCACACTTCTCTAATAAAAGGAAAAAACTAGTTTTTTTAAAATAATGAGCACTTAAAATAGAACAAATGAAATGAAATAATTAAGATGCATGTAAACAGATCATTTTTACATATTTAAGGACAGAGGGAGGAGTCATACCTGCATCGTTCAACACAAAGATAAAGAGGGAAAAAAATGCAGCTACAAAGCAGGTGGTRTCATGATGAGAGGACATAAATAATCTATGGGTGGGGATGGGGATACGTACTTTCAGCAGCTAGCAGTCCTAGAGAGCAGAGCAGAAAAACACCACAAAAAAGAGGATCAGAGGAGATTTGCTGCAAATGTAAAGATTAATTTAAAAAAAAAGAAGAACAAAAGATCAGAGAGGCAGCAGGAGGAAGAAGCCTGAGGGTAGAAATATGGAGCCTGAGGCCCAGTTTACACAACAATGTTGTTGAGGGGAAACCGTAGTTTTTCTGCTCCGGTTCGTTTAGACGACAGCAGCACTCGTTTTCTCAGACTTTTTCAAGCGACTTGAAAAAGTCAATGACCGAGCCCGTCTGGAGTCCTACGAGTGCAAAAATAAACCTGTCGCCAGGAAGTGTGACTGCGACAGACTGCTTGTCTCAGCAGATCATGGCCGACGCTGTGAAAGTTGGTCTGACTGCAGCAGCGCAGGAATGAGAAGCTGAGCTCATTAGAGGAAACACACTCATGACTTTTGTCATTTTCAGGGTGAAGAACCAAACAGTTCCGGTTTGTCTGTAAGCACCGGTGAATCCTGACCTGCAGTCTTCTTATCCCAGGAAGTGAAAGTCCTGGGCTGAGACAGAGAAGTGAGGCTGTTGGGCAACATCTGTCTTCATTTAAACAGAGGAAGTTTGACGCAAACAACTGGAAACTTGAAGTTAAGAATTATGGAAACTAATGGGTTTTAATTATTGTTGGGTGCACGTAGTTCCACTGATCTGTGTGTGCAAGAAGATCAACGGGATTTGTTTTAGGATGCTCTTTAATCAAAATTAAGTTTTACCTGAGGAGGTTGGGTCGTCTGAGAAGTCATGGAGCTCCTCAGGAGGGTCTCCATAGTAGGAGTTAAACTTGTGGCTGGAAACAGCAGCCAGGACTGCACCCTGGGAGGCAGAAAAGAYGATTATCCTGCTGAGAACCTAATTTTGATAGATTTGATGCATAAAAACCCAACAAGGAAATGACTYTGCTTTTAAAAGGAAGCACAGAATTAGGTCATCAGCTGCACAGTGCAGAGGAGGTGACACTTCCTTTCAGCGCGCATCATGCAGATTCTGTGCTAACCTTCAGCTTCCTTCTGGCGTTGAACTTCCTCAGCTGCTCGACCGTTTCGGGCAGGTGGATCTTGTATGCATACCTGTCCCTCTCCTGTAGAAGTCAGAYGCACAGGAGTGAAGGCGTGAACACACAAACACACAAATAAAGCTAAACAAATTTTGGTTTTAAACGGATGTGAAAGTAAAGCTGTGGCTTCAAGCAGAAGGAAGTGTTTTTGAGTCAGCGTGAATGAGGCCAGCGTTTCAAAGGTGACGTCCATTTGATTGATTGAACCACTGTTTCCTGGTTTAGAAATGTAATAAGTTTCGACCATAGCAGCAGAGCGTTTTATACTCTTAAGTGTCTGAGTAATCTTACCTTCAGCCAGGGGTGGTTGAGGGCCTCGTAGACGGTGATTCTCTCAGCGGGGTCCAGCATCAACATGCGTCTCACCAGGTCCTTGGCGCTCTCTGAGATGTGAGCCCATTGGCGTGGATTCATCTAAACACAGAACAGACAATGTTAGAAATAAGTCGACCTGCTGTGGCTACTGAAAGCTGTAGGTAGTAAGTATGTAGAGAAGAGATCATCCGTGACCACGTCCTGAGTATTTACCACCTTATATTTCCCCTTAATGATGGCCTCAAACAAGCGCTCCTTAGTGCCATAGAAAGGCAGGCAGCCAGAAAGGAGGATGAAGAGGATGACTCCACATCCCCACACATCCACTGGTTTGCCGTACGGCTCCCTCTTCACCACCTCAGGGGCCATGAAGTGAGGAGTGCCAACACGGCCTGAAAACAGCAGCGAAAAATATGTTTATAAATGAACATCTATGAGGATATGACTTAACCTGAACCTGCAAAAAGGATTCAATGCAGCACAGAATATGGAATGAAACATTTCCAAATAAGTTTTATATTTTATGATTAGTTGATTATAGGATTGGGCGGTATTAATTATTATTTTCATACCATGGTATACGGTATTGCTGGGGGCTGGGTCGTCTGTAGAGTATAGAGTAAATAATAATTACCTACACTGTGCTAGTAATCAGTTTTGTGATAGACCCCAAATTGGGGGTGCCATTTCAAAAGTTGGTGTCTGGACATACAAAAATGGTTATATCTCCAAAACTATTCAACAAAGAAACTAGATTTCTTTTTATTTAGTTCTGATGAAGGGCTATCGTTTCATGACATCATGTGTTTCTGTGCAATTACCACCTACAGTAGGCAAAAGAATGAAAACACAAYTGAAAATTGTTATTGTAAGCCTGTACATCCATAAACACGATCAGATCTTGATGGAACTTGGCACAGATGTTGTCCTAGTTGACCTACACTGACGACGAGTCCATCGGCCCCATACGCTTGTTCATTGCCTCCACCCAAAATGGCTTATACTYAAAACAGTCTCTGTGGATCTTTTCTATATTTGTAAAGCATCTGCAGTACAATTTCCTGGACAGATTAGAACATATATGACATCATACCTGTGAATAGGGTTTGTTTCATAATCACTATACTCAAATAAACTACAGGGAAAAGACTAGGGACGTCCCGATCAGACACTCAGTATCGGTGGCAGATATGGCCATTTTTTGAAAATCGGCTAGAATCGGATTTAGTCATGTAATCGGGCCGATCCAGTTTTCAGTATCATCATGCTTAAAACTGCCGTTAAGAAGTCAAGACGAACACAAGTATGCAACCAAGTCCACAGTGTGGGAACACTTTTCAATGGAAAACAATGACGCTGAAACTGCATCTTACTGATGGTGGCGCCGATGCATGGCAGCCCCACCTCTGTCAGTGCGCCCCAGGGCAGCTGTGGCTACAGTGTAGTTT